TCCCCCAAATTAGGGTACCAGTTAAGAATAAATATGACAGTTGGAAATGTTACTACAAGGACAACTATTATTTGATTAGCTTTTCCACTAAAATAACAAGATTATAAAATTCATTTATAAATTATAAAATCAGGCAACTGTAAAGTCATCTTCCACCAATTCTTCATTAAAATAATTTAATTACATGATAAAATTGTAGATTTATACAAACCTGTCACCAACACCACCCTATTCTAACACTTAACAGTGAAATATTAAAATTTATTAAATATCTGATTCTTTAGCACCTAACAAAAACTTTGTTTTGAAACTAGAAAAATAGAATTTCACAATGTATTATGAATAATGTAATGATAATGATGGTATACTAAGATGTCTGAACAGTGTGTGGTCTTTTAAGTCAGTGAAAATAATTTCAACAATGCTACTGTTATTTATAACTTTACAAGTTCAGCTGTAAATTTATTCACACCTACTAAACATACTTTTAAACATACTTACTATATGGTAAATTTTTATTGATAAAATATTTGCTTATTTTGGAAAAACTTGTCATTTTGTGGGTTCTGGAAAAGCCCACTCACAGAACTCATGTTACAGATACACACACACTCATAAATAAAAAGACAAAGGGGAAAAAAGTGTATTACTTGAAATCTTAGAATTTACCATAAATGATTTGAAAATCTAGTTATTAAAGGTCCCTTCAAACTTTCTATATTTTTCAAAATTCATTCTATAAAAGTTATAGTTCAAAATAAACTTCAAATTTTAAGAAAGGTCACCATGGGTTTTAACATTTTCAAATTTTATTTTTACTGCAATTGAGCAATATAAAGTCACATGGTTCTATGAAAAAGCATATTTTAGTATCACTCCAATACAAAGAGATAAAGTTAAATGAATAAAACTATTATTCATATACAAAGCTAACTTCAGAGACAAATCTTTGAATTTTTCCTGTTGAGAAATCCCATATATATATTCTTACACCTACCTAAACTTGGCCACCCTAAACTTGGCATTATACTTTTTCCATCCTAAACTCATCCCCAAATTGGAAAATCAAGGAGATAAAAGCAATCAAAGTTAATTCAAAAAGTGTTCATCTTATTATCAACATTAACTATTTGGGGGAATCTCAGTGTAGACTATAAAGTACTACCATATTTTAATTTAAATGATTCCTGTTATAGGAAAAAGTGAAGGGTGAACTAAGCTCAAGAAAACTTCAAGGGGAATCAAACACTAGGGGGCAGCATCAAACTGCTGGGTCAGAGCATTCTTTCAATTTGAACTTGAGTAAATTTTCTGAGAATTGCACTTGTAAAGTTAACTTAGCGTGTTATATGACTTGTTGTAAAGGAGGAAAAGCTAGCTTTGTTTTGTCTACACTCTTCCATTTTCTACTGTGTTCTAACTTGCATCTCTTGACCTGTAAATGTTTTAAATGCTCAAGTGATAATGTTTCCTTTCTGTGGTATAAAACACATAAAACCCATGTAGTTCCATGAAATAGGAACTGCACAGAAAGGCTGACATTTCTACTTAAAAGAGTTTGACTAGGTTAATGCTCATTTTACTTGTTTTCACTCAATGTTTTAAAGGTGAATAAAGAGCTTGATAACAAAGCTTTGCACATTCATTGAATAATGTCATAAGCACTACGTGACAAAACAGTATGATGTCTTCCCCAAGGAATTTAGTCTGGCAGGGAAAATAAGACATACCTATGCTGTTGTGATTTTAAAAGTACAAGAGTAGGAAATAGTTCTATACAAATGAGTAACAGAATAACACTAGGATAACTAATTCCCCACAAAGGTCCAATAAATCATTAAATTTTTATTCTGGGAGGTAATCAGTTATAAGGAGAGGGGGGAGAGGGAAAAAATGGTCCTATAACCACTAATGAAGAAAATACTAGTATGTAGCAAAGTAAGTAAAATGAATTAAATATCTGTAGTCCTTTGGTTCCTTACATCACTTAATGGGCACAGTAAGCCTATGAGGTACCGTTTTTTAATGTACTTAAAAGTTCACAAGGGGCCCTCCCTGGTGGCGCAGCGGGGTAAAGCACTGCACCAAGAAGCTTAAGCCACCTCCGCATGAGTTCGATTCCTACCTGCCCCAGAGGAGATCCACATGGCTGGCAGACCTCCCCTGAATTCCGCATGAGTTCGATTCCCACCTGCCCCAGAGGTGATCCACATGGCTGGCAGACCTCTCCTGACCCGCCCGCTGCTCCCCTCAGCAGTGTACTTCATTGATCTGCCTGTTCTGCTCCCCACTCTGTCCCTGGTGAATCCTCTCACCCACCGCATCTCTGGCTTGTACACCAGTTCTGTTAAGTAAATAAATCTTTAAAAAAAAATTCACAAGTAAAAGATTATAACAACTTCAAGTTACACAAGTTTAAAATGTTGTTAACCTTAAATAGTTTTGGAACTTAAAAGTCCCAAATTATTTCCAATATTGGCTAATACTGGAGGCAGGGGAAATAGAATAAGGCAAATTCAATTAAAAGCAGTGGATCCAGGTGTGTAATTTTCCTTGCTGTAATACCTGTATCTTACATTCTACTTAAATCAGTTAAAATAAAAAAACCCTAGAGTAGTACTTGATGCTAAACTTAACACTTCCCAAAGCACTTCAGAACAAGAGTCCAAAAAAGGGAGTAACTATGTTAGCATCTATGCTATTAATGGAAAACAAACTGGTATCAGGAAGAACTACAGGTTATCAGGCAATGGATTGTTGGTATCATATCAGAGTAGAGGCTCTTTCCCCTAACTTCTTTTAAAGCACTACAAAAATCATTGTTGAACATGGCTCTTAATTACAGGTCTCTTTATTGAAAGTGTGCAGATGCAAATAGGAAAAATAATGTTCACTTCAATTTCTGAAAGTTGGTTACTCCTTCAGCTTTGAATGAAAGCAAAAGTTAACCATAGCCAGCACCTGATTATTTCACCAGTAGTCCTTTAAGGGTCATTTAGAGATCTCGCTAGTTTTAAATTAGACCTGCTACTATGCTTGAAATTTAATGATTTACTAAAGCATGGGTTACTCTGTCATAAAGATTTAATATTTTGATAATTGTTTCAATATAATTGGTTTGTTGTAATCCTGTTTCATGCATTTAAAATCAATCTTAGCTTCATTACACAAAAGTTTAAAAAAAACCCATTGCTTTGTTTTCTTCATGGCACTTTCTGATACTATGCATTTCTCCCTCGGCTGGAATACTGATGGAGGGATGTGGTGTATCTATACCCCGACCCCCAAGATCTAAGGACAATTGACTCATCAAGTATTCAAAAGTTATAGAACAGAAAGTACTACCATAAAACAGAACACAGCACATAAAAGTCGTGTTTTGTTAATTGAAAACATGCTAGGACTCTCCAACTCTTTCATTAGTTGTGTCTTGAGCAGAATCCAAAAAGAAATCACACACGAGTCCGTCACATGCTACTTTTGCTCCATATGACTCAGTCCCAGGTTAAGAATACTGAACGTTAAAGACGGGAAAGTCTTAAAAAGACCGTAAAACCCGCCATCTTTCTCTTGTGAATAACGTGCTTGCTCTCATTCTTTATTACTTAAAACAGGTTACTGCGAGAAAGACCCTTCCCACGAGGGCTGCGGGTGCCGCGCCGTGATGGTTCTTCCTGGCTAAGGACAGCCATGCGGACAGGCCCCCCACGTGAACAGTTCTTTACACAAGCCACAGGAAGCTCCTTCAACGTCACGTCGCGCGCGCCCTGCCGGGCCCCTTCTCAGCCAGGGTTCTCCAGGGGGTCCCCATTCGGGGGGCGGGGGGTAGGCAGGAAGTTGACCACATCCCTAGACCTCGGGGGGCCGGCGGCTTGACTCCACTACTCGTCCCCAGGCCCGGCCCCACCGAGCTCTCCGCCCAGGCGCTTTCAGGAACAAAGCCCGGCTGCCGCGCCGCCTCCCGGCCCATCCGGCCTCCCCCACGCACCCGGCCCCAGCCCCATCAGAGACCCGGCAGCTCTGATGTTCACTCCACCACGCTCCGCCGCGGCTTTTCAGTTGGTCGGGGAGAAAACAAGCCCCCACGAGGCCTCCCGCGGTAGCAGCACCGGCCGCCGTCCGTTAGCCTCACCGAGCCGGCTCCGCGGCGCGGCCGGACCCCTCCCGGGGCTCCTCGCCAGACCCCCGGCTAGACCCGAGGGAGGCGGAGAGGGGACGGGGCTCCCCCTCCTCTTCCCTTGCAAGACCCGACTGCGGATCGGTCCCACCCTCGGGCTGCAGGTCACCCCGCCTCTGCAGGCGCAGTGTGTCCCCAGCCCCCAGGCCGCCGCGCGCAGCCCCTAACCGCCGCCGCCCGCCCAGCGGTCACTCCCCCGCTCCCGCCGCGGCCCGCGCGGCTCCCCTGCAGCACCGGAGACTCGGAGCCTCACGCGCGGGAAGAAGGCTGTCCAGCCGCCAGCCCGGCTGCAGCCCAGACCGCACACGAGGAGCCGCGGCGCCCCACGCGCAGCCCACCGCGCGCTCTGCTCCGGCTCGCCGCCGCCGCCGCCGCCGCCGCCTGCAGCAGCTGCGGGAACCCCAGAGCCCAGATCCCCGAGGGACTCAGCCCAGACTCCCTGGATCTTGTCTCCCTTTCTACCCCCCTGCCGTCCCGGGACTCGCAGTCTCCGCCGCGCATGGGGCCGGTTCTGGGGGAGGGAATGTAAACAAATCGGGGTTTTATAGTTACCTCACACTCGAGTGCCGTGTGCATCTCCTCTCCGCTCGGTACCAAACCCCGGCTGCACCAAATCGTGTATTCACCAAAGCCCGCTGCGCTAACTGCGTCGCGGAAGCCCGCGCACCAGACACCACTCTACGCCAGCTGCGTAGAAGACCCACTCAGGTCCCTGCGCAGCCGCACCCCGTCCGCCTATGGGTGCTACGTTCTGGGCGTACACGCACCACCCAGTCATTCACTTAGAATAACGTAACTTGTGCAGGAGATCTGCGCCACTCGCGGATTGCACACGGACTGTAGGAGAAATAGGAAATGCGAGTCTACGCAAAGTGCGGAGCTCCGTGGCTCCACGTTAGTTTTGTTCCAAGAAAGGACGCCGCGGGGGAGTTGGGGCGGCTTCTAACGCATGCGTGGAGCATCCTACCCCCCCTCTTTTCCTCCAGGCTTTGCTCGTCGGTTGCTGTGGCCCTGAGGAGGTGGAAGAGTAATGGAAGCTCTGAGCACAAAGACTCTCGATTGATCAAGTTGAGTGTTTATCTCCACAGGAGCTAAACATCTGGCTTAATTTACCCCCTTGCTTTGTTAAAGTAACTTCCCGTGTCTTAGAATAAGAAAGAACTAATATTTAGGGTTAAGCACAATGTATTTGCATAGTTCCTTCCCCCACCCACCCACGTTTACTCTAAAGAACATTTCCTGTGAGCCGCTAAAAGTCTACTAGAAAAAGATGTGTCCTGAGAGCCGGTCAATCACCCCGTGATTCCTCGGGCTTTTGGCAGCTTTCCGTGGTTTTCCATCACTTCCGCTTAATTCGTCGATTATTCCTTAACGCTTAAAGGTAAAAACTCCCCAAGCAGCCAACTCTTTCCATAGATTACTGCCTACATTTTTTGCTCACCCTTATTCACACCATACCGGAACAATCTGAAAGGCCCTCACTTTTTAAACAATTAACCTCGCATATTTTCTTGAAAGGTGATTCTGGATACCTTCCCTTTGCTCCATTATGCTTCTTCCTGGCACTTACTTAATGCCCATGGTGAGGCTTGCCTGAATTCGGTTTGGTGTGCCTATTTCTGTATCTAGCCAGAATCTGCTTAATGGAGTGGTGCCTTATTGATGTCTAGCAGAGTGCATAAAACTAAAATCAATAATAATAGCAAGCTTTACTATATGTTACATACTTTGTAAGGTTTTTTTTTTTTGACAAATACTCATTCCATACCCTTAACAAAATGAAGTAGTTCTTACTATTCTATCTCAGAAAACTGGGAAACTGAGACAAAAGGAGTTAAGTAACTTACTTAAAATGGCAGAACAGACAAGGAGGAGAGTTGGTATCCAAACCTGTTAATATTGCTACATATTCCTTCTATTCGCACATTTACCCTCATGAAGGAATCTTGCTTTGCTGTTGTTTTAAGTCTCTACTAAGAACACATTTTAGGTACTTAATAAAGAAGTAATCTTTTAAGAGCATATTAACTACCAAGATACTACTCATGTTTTTCCTATTTGGAAGATCACTCTATTGACCTCACTCTTGTTGGAGGTTTCACAGCAACTATAAGGTAGAGAAAAGAGCTCAAGCCTGAATCTTAGCTTCAAGTCTCACATTGTCACTTACTGTGGGAGATAATAACCATGGTCCTCAGATTCCTGAATAAAATAGAAAATTGTTCTAATTCTTTCAAAAGTCCTTAGATGTCCTAGAATCAACGTAGAAGCATTAAAAAAAATACAAATTACCCAGATATTTTAAGGTCATGATTACTGAACACATTTTCAGCAGTTTTAAAGTATATGTAATATCAATAAAATATACCACTTATATTCCTAATACTTTGGAACATTTCACTCCCGTTTTTAGTTTTTTATTTACAAAAATAAATGTTCAACTGGTATATACAGATGCAGGTGAAATATACGATCAAAATTAAAATTCTTCCATATAAATTGGTCATTAGTTGTAATTTCTGAGTAGAATTTCCCCCAGCCCTGCCCTAGCCCTTTCTCTCAGGATTTTCCTGACCTACCTCATTTCAGGTATTGAAGGGTTAATACCCAGCTAAAAAGAAAATCTATAGAACCCAAGTCTTACCAAATTCTCCCATTCTAATTAGGGAGTGCCTATAATTTACTAATTCTTACGTATTTTAAATATAGACAAAGGACACAAAAATATTAATTCAAGGACATCTGCACCCTTGTGTTCACTGCAGCATGATTTCCAATACAATAGGTTAGTGATAGAAGCAACCCAAATCCCCAAAAATAGATGACTAGATCAAGAAGATGTGGTATATTTACACAATGAAATATTATTCAGCAAGCAAAAAGGAAAAACTCATGCCCTTCACAGCAACATGGATGGAGCTGGAAAGGATTATGGTCCCTGAAATAAGCCAGAAAGAAAAAGAAAAGCATCAAATAGTCTCACTTACAGGAGAAATGTAGAGAAAAAAAATAAGGCACAGAAAATAAAGAAACTATAATAAAGTAAAAATCATCTGGCAATAATAGATCAGAGACATTCTGTAGGGCAAGAGCAGGAAGAAGCATCAGAACAGGAGTGGGAAGAGCATAAAGGACTATGGTGATTGTGCCTGGGTGAACTGGTGGAATTTCACCAGGAAATCACACATTGTTCAAAAATGAAGGATGATGAATATATTTAAAATTTTTAAATATATATTTTATATATATTTTAAATGAATATATTTAAATTTTTTAATTGAAAAAATATATATGTCATCCTGCATAAAACTATAGGTAAGCTACTTGCAAATAGATCAAGTCTCCTACCACTTGAACATTCACTCGAATGTTCATATACGATTGAGTATGTGTATAATGATTAGGATAGGACTTAGAGTAAATTACTATGCAGCATAAACGATTGAGCTGCAAACCAATATATTACTTAATGGCCAAAGGAATCTTAGAAAATGACTTACGGATTTACTTAAGATCATCTGCTAAGTTAAATAATGAAGGGTGCTACAAAAATATCACAATAATATAATTTATTTTATCATTAGATATGAGGACTGTATTAGGATAGGGAATATCTAATATATTAGAATGATATAACTTTCTGAAAAGGACAAATACTTTTTTCTACCCACCTAATCATATTCATAAAGAAGCTCAACCGAACTGTAAAAACAGTACAGATGATTTTTAAAAGCCTGGGGACTGAAAGAATATTGAATTATGTGGTTTGCCTTTCATTCATTTTACTTATTCAGATGACTTCAGACACAATTTTATTTAAGATATCTAAAAATTTTAAACATGACTACCTTCATGAGGATGATAAAATTAATGTTTTTGTTTGTTTGTTTGTTTTTAGCCCTCAGGATTAGAAAAGAACCAATTATTAAAAAGAGAGAAAAGAAAAACCACACTTTATACCTCTTTATAACTGAAGAAGGTCCATATCATAAACTTGGTTTTCTCTGTAGCAAAAAGAATACAGTTATTATCCACTAGAAAGTTGAGAAACTTAATTGAATCTAGAAAGAACATGACTAACTTTAAGAAACCTGACCTTTCAAACTCAATTGTTCATTAGTAAAAATGAGGAATAACCAAAAATGAAGAAAACTTAAATTTACATTCAGTTTATCTCTTGGTTTTTACCAGATTGTAAAAGTTTGGTGAAGACAAGGTAATGCCTAGAAGCAAGAATATGAGAGCCTAATTGTACTGTAATATTGCTCTATGTAGGGGGTACCAAGTATGAGTAGGTGTCAAAGAACTGAGAAAGAAGACCACAAAATGTTGTACACCTGCCTCAAAATCAACAACTGTCCATCTACTTTTAGAGATTAATATCAGCCTGGGGTTCTAAAGCCTGGTTCTAAACCTGAAGCCAGTAGAATGAAAAGATAAATCCTATTCCTCTTCTTTCAGGCCAGTAGCACCAAGTACATGGAACAGATTTAAATAAACCACTGTCAAAATGGGAAATGGAGCCTTTGGAGCAGCCTTTTCCTGATCTCTTGAGAAATTCTGATTCTACCTTCTCATATAAAAATGTGTCATTCCTAAGCTTAGGTAAATAGGCCTTGAGAGTTTGCATTGAAGTTCTCTTAAAGAAATTCTTGCCTCTCTTTAAAGAGAGCAGGACACCTGTATCTGCTTTCTACAGAGCCTAATCACTGAGGAGAACGGCATGTGAGATGAACCAATCCTACTCTACTGAGACAAACTTGACTGTTACAACAGTCAATGGAGGTCATTCTGAGTTGCTATGCTTATGAAATAAATGAGATTCAGGCTATCTGCAGAAACAAAAATAGATTAGAGAAATGAAACAATTGGAACAACACATTCAAACAACTTCCTATTCTTGGGCAAAAAATTAACTTCTAAATCATTTGCCTGATGATGCTAAATTTAGGCTAGCCACGTCCTTTAACTTCAGTTCACAATACAAACAAAATGGCTTTAGCATTAGAGATTCTTATTGAAAGAAAGATAATTATGCAGAGAAGTAAAGCCTGAGATTCACTATGGCAAGACCCTTTGAAAATAAGAATGAGACATAACCTAAATAAAAAAGGAAAACAGACTAGAACTAGAACCAAGACAGAAGGCACAGCAATTTCCCCACATGAGGATGCCAGGAAGTCCTCTTGACTCAAATCTACTCGATTGTGTTCATGTCTCCCTAGAATTCCACATTTAAACTTCATTCCTGAGCCTTGAAACCAAAGAGACTTTGACCCAGGGGGTACCATTTTATTACATATTTATACTGCCTTAAGGGTCTCTTCTGTAGAAGTTTTAAGAGAGGAGAAAAGTTGATTTCCTGGATTCCTAAGGATAGTGTGGATGAAGGAAACCTAGACAAATTACCAACTTCTCAACTGTGTGTCTAGCCAACCTATGCTCTCACAGAATACTAAACTGAAAAAACAAGCACACACTAAGCTTGGCAAGCAGCCACTTGATGCCAGCCATTTGGGATCTTTTGAAACTCTACAGGCACAGCAGAAATCAACTTTCCAAACTTAACTCGTAGCCCAAAGGAATTTTAACAAGTACCAAATGTCCACATGAATATGCTGAGGGATGGCTGTACTTCAATTTCAGGAAAATTATCAACATGAAAATGAGTTAGTAACAAGTTACCATGTAAATATTTTTAAACACCAGTTTCCTTTGTTTTAACTAGTTGCAATTACATAAACTCACTTTAAAAAGTCACTTTAAAATTTCACCAACGTGAAACCAAATTTCGAGTCGTGCCTCAGGTTTCCAAGATAATTCTTAATGAGACCCATTTCACAGCTGACATTTATGAACATAATTAAGTGCATCTTTTAAAATCAAGACACACTTGGTTTATCTTAACAATATTCCTTACCTTTATTTATTAAAAATTTGTCAGCAAGGATGTGGCAAAATTCTAAACATTAGTGGAGGCAATAAAAGAATTGTCAAAACAAGAATAACTGGTAGAGATTTCTGAATTTTCCTAAAATGGTTTTAAGTAAATCT